GGTGGTACTAGTACTAGGGACTGCTGAATCCAGGGTCTTTCACCTGCTAGGTACATGTGCTACCACTGAGCTACACCCCTCCCCCCAGTTTATGAAGGATAAATTGAGATCTTGAGAGGAGAAAATCACCTTCCCTTTCAATGTGTCAGAACGAGAAGCTCCACTTCCTGACTTCAAAGTCCAGGTTTCTGCTCTTCCTTACCCGAGCTCTCTCAGTTCCGGGCTAACCTCTGCTGCCCCCCATGCCTGATCATCATTTAGTCCTTGGCTTAGGAAGGGGGAGGGGATGGAAGCATGGTCCAGATCCTCCTTTCCTCCGCATAAACCACAGTACTCCATTCTCCTGATAAGATGCCAATCTGTGCATTGCCAAGCTTCTTGGGCAGGAGGCCCAGAAAACTATCTGGCTGAACCTGGGCCCCTACAAGGTCACAACTCAGGGAAGTCATGGGATGTGCAGCAGTGTCACATGACAGATGGGGATTGTAGGTTCAGGTGAGCCCACCAGAGCTGCTCAGATTCAGAAGTGCCCATGAGCTGCTGTGCCTCCTGCAAATTAACGTGTAATATGTCCACCATTATCACCGTCCATTCTGCAGAACCTAGCGTGCTCACTTCCCACTTTCCCTCTAATTCCTCTTCCCCCACCTCCTATTTGGGCCTTACCTCCATCAAGGCTGCGAGACATTGTGTACCGTTTGCTGGAGGAACGCTCAAAGAAGGGTGCAGGCCGGTCGATGAGAGCACTGGCCTGGCGTGTCTGTGCCTGGGTTCTTCCACTATACCGGAACTTGGAGCCCATCACCAGGAAACCTTTGGGTGGAGGCTCAGGGGACACCAGCCTGCAGTGGAGGAAAGGAGGTGAGGAAGGAGGTTCAGACCTGCAGTGCCAGGCCCCCGGGTAGCTCAAACAGGCCTTCTGTACCATTGCCCCATCAACGATGACACCTCAGAGTAGTCCAGAAAAAAGAATACTTAGAGAAGTGGTATGTTGGGGGGGCAGGGATCCCGAAGACTCCCTAACTCTTCTTACTACTCCCGTGTACACTCATGGCCTCTGCTTACCTATTACCCTAGCCCAGGGTTGGCTTACCGGAAGAACGTGTGGTGTTCGATGCAGACCTTCCATAGCCTCTTGGCTGACCGGTGGTTTGGAAGCTTAAAGCCAATTGTGCTCTCAAACTGCTCATACTGGAAAACCAAGAAGCGGGATTAGAGGCGGGGCCACGCTTGCCTGTCCTTTCCAAACCTCTTCTCAGGCATTTCTAACTTTGGCCTGTTCATATAATCAACAAAGTGAGTTAAGCCCATCTTCTGAGACAGGTTCACTACAAAACACTAGCGATACCACAGAAGCCAAGACAGAAGATGCTCGGAGTGAAGCCCCCAGACATTAATAAGGACACGAGAGAACAGCAGGTACTGGTAAACAGTTTGGGGCAGAATAAGTAAAAATGTGTGGTATGAGAGAACAAGAGGGCAGGTGAGGAGTGAAGCTCTGTCCTCTACACAGGTGCTAAGATCAGAAGGATGGAAAATTTAGGTCTTACTGACCCTAAAGGTCCACAATTTAAAGGGTTTGTCTGATCGGAAGGTGGTATAAACCTCTAAAATGTGGATTCTAGTAATATAGGCTTTAGGTCATTGAGGCCTTGAAGGGGGTTATGGGATGTTGGGGTCTTCTCTCTTTTTTCATATTCTGGGCATGAGGTAAACAGTTTGTTCCTCCTCCTGTTCCTGCCATGATGTGCTGCCTTGCCACAGACCCAAAACAACAGGGGCAATCAGACAGGGACCAAAATTCCAACACTAAAAAAAAAAGAAGCCTATTTCTATTTATGAGTTGGAGATTTTTTTAGTACCAGGTAGGAGCCATCCATGTGAGAAGATGGGGGAAAGGCTTTTAGGCAGAGGGAACATCACATGCCAAGGACTCAGGTGGGATAGAGCTTGATTTATTCAAGGATTACAGAGAAGGCCAACAGGGGCATGCAGCAGTGAGGCGAGAGAGAGACGAAAGGGGCAAGTGGCTATCAGAGCTGGACTCCAGGCCCAGAGTTACAGAGAGCTCCTAAAAGTAGGCAGAGTGTGGGCACGGTGGGGTGAGAAGTTGGCAGAATCTGGCTTAAGGGAACAGAGACAGGGAGGCCAGTGAGAGGGACTGTATAGAGACACAGGTGAGAGAGGGGCTTCTGGTGGCTGGCACAATGGAAAGGAGAGGCAGGCATATCACAGTTACTCTAGTCATGGACCCAAATGGCCTCTGTGATGGGTAAGATGTGGAAGCTGAAGGAAAACAGGTGTGGACACGTTTGTCTGTGTGTGTGGTCATAGGCCTGTATGTAATTCAGTATGTGTAGATGCTGAAGTACTACATGAAAAAAAACATCTGCACAAGATATGTATTTACTTACATGTCTAATGCAAACACAGTTATCCTATGTATGTTCTTGTGTAAGTGTGTTGTGATCTGCCTGCATATACCCAGGGTGTGAGATCTATGTAGAAAACTGCAGAAGAGGGGAGAAGCTGTCTGTCTTCCATACACTCTGGTACCCCATCCATATTGCTGAATAAGAAAAGCCCAGGCCACCTGCCAGGGTCTGCTGCCCCCCATCAACCCCAGGGAGGAACAGGGGCTCCCAAGGCAAGCTCACCTCCCCAGGTCGAATCTTGATATAGAAGTTACTCCTCTTGTATGAGATCTTGAGGATCTTGGGCCAAGCAAAACGGTTGATTCTCAGCCGGTCCCGGTAGATGAGCAGGCCATTGGCGCAGACACCTAGCATGATGTCAATGCCCTCAGAGTCCTGCATGAGAAGGGACCACAGAATGGGAGGCCTGGGATCCACACATGAAGCAGCTGCAGCAGCTGGTGACCATCCCAGTCCTACCCTGAGCTCTGGTAGTAATGAGCTCTCAGGAGCATCCAGAGAGCCTCCTTGCTGCAGTCCTCTGCCCAAAAGCTACCCAATCATTCACTCATTCAGTCTCTGACTCACTGCTCACTGGCTCTTTCATTTGCTCTGTTAATCAATCAATCAATCAATCAGTAAACATTTAGGTGCATAATCAGTGTCAATCCATATGATAAGTGCTAGGGATACAGTCATAAATTAAGATTTATGTCTTTCATTCATTTGCTCTCAACTGAATGGTAACACAATTTCATAAGTAAATAACAAGGAACAAATGATAAAAAAAATCACAAGAAATAAAAGGTTATGAACCTTAAAGAGTGAAAAATGAGAATAGAAAAAGTTCCAGGTTGGAGGCAACGTAAGGTCTGGCAGCCAAGCCTCTGCAGGAGCCTGATAGTGCACTGGGGCACATCGTGTGTGAGGGGCCTGGGGCTGGGGGTACCTTGGCATGGTGCAGATCGACTCCATACATGGAGAGCTTCTTGGCATTCTCAAGGAAGTGGATCTCGGCTTCACCTGGGGTCATGCCCCTGAGGGAAAGAAAGTGATCACCAGTGGCCATGGCAAAGGCTGCCACCAGAACCCCTGCTTGGAAGGGGGCAGTGGCTAAGCATCCTCTCAGTCCCTCCTCTCTGGCCTCAGGGCAGGATGGAGAGGCAGCCCCAACCCCACTTCAATCTGCCCAATCCCATTTCTGTAGAGCTCAGGTCTACTTCCTTCTAGAATACAGACAAGGGCTGGGCTAGGTCAGGGCCTTTGCCTCATTTGCCACTGAGCTGAGCGTGTGCTATAAATTCTGCTCCTCATGACTGCAAAACCACTGCTGAAGACATCATTCATTATAATCACCCAAGGGCTCCTAAATTATTACCACATAAGATATTTCAGAATTTAAAATCAGAAGCCATCTAATCTCCCTTGAGGAGCAGGTGCAGTCTCCTTTCTGAAAAGAAGAGTTATATAATTGATCAAGATTCTTTGCTTTGGCTGTCAGGAACCTCAGACTACATTTTACACTTAGTCACAGCAAACATTTATTGAGTACTACTGTATGTGCTCGCTGCTGTTGCAGGCACATCACCAAAATTAACTCACCGAATCCTCATCACAGGTAGGTATCATGGTCAGTCCCATCTTACAGATGAGGAAGCGCCCATGGAGAGGTTGGATAACTTGCTCAAGGGAACACTGCTATTAATAAACAGTCACGATTTGACTACAGGTAATGTAGCTCAAAATCCATGCTTCTAACTATCTCATTACACCTGTCTCTTATATCCTCTGGGCCCACTTTCCTGGGCTGTCTGCCTTGAGTGGTGTGTGAGAAACCTGTGTAAAACTCTAGACGTCAACGTACTTTAAGTCCAAAGAGCTGTAGAGATATCCATTAGCATTTTTGCAGCCCATATTGATCTGAATGTCTTTCTCTGAATTATTATGGATCTTGCAAATCCCCAAGGAGCCTTGCTATCTAGGACAGAGATGACAGATAGATGGCAGGCTGCCCCATTCCTATGCCTAGGTGGCTACAACTGAACAGTTGTATCTAACTTATCACCAGACCACAGCAGTCAGTACTAACCAAGTAAAGTAAGTGTGTGAGTCAGAGAGAGGATCTTCCCCCAGTTCACGATCTCTCCACATCGGGCCCTAGCCCTCCTCCCCAGGTGCAGCCCACAGCGCACAATCTTCCTTGTTCCCTCCACTGTAATGAGATAGCATCGCCATAGCCATCCCTGTGAGGCACAGCACTTTCCATTTAGAATGCACTTGTACATCATCTATCACATTGGGTTCCCATAACAACCCTGAGCTTAGAACCTAAAGCATTTTCAATTTAAAAATGACCATAGAGATCACTGTGATCCAGGGGTAACCCCCAGGGCCTGGTATCCCTGGCAGGCCAGGCATTTGGAAATAGCAGTGGAGAGGAGCAATTCTGATTATTACAAGAACAGAGTGATGTTATAGATATTTAATGCCAGGAATGCTAAATATCTTGCAGAAAGAATTCTCCTGTTCCAAATACCAGTAGTGGAGAAACACTGATCATCTAATTCTAAGCATTTATAGGTGAAAGATGAGGCTTCCAGTAGTTAAATAACCAGCCTACAATCACACATCCCGTTTATCATCTTCTAACTCACGGAACAAAGTGCTTTCCGTAATTTGTTACCTAATCAACCTCTCAGTTCACAGACAGCAACCCTAAGAGCCAACGTGTGTGTCTTTAGTAGGTGTCATGGGGTCCTCCCAACAACCCAATAGGACAGATTTACTAGTGCCACGTTGAACAGATGAGCACGCCAAAGCACAGGGAAACGATACTATGTGCCAGTTCCCCTAGATAGAAGGGACGGAGCCAGATGGCAAAACCAAGCAGGCTGGCATTTAGACCAAACTTCTGAACTTTATGCCAAGATCTAGCCATCAGGGTATTTATCTAGAGACACGAAGTAGTTATGATTATCTCATACTAATAATTCGATTATAGCTATTATTATCTCCAGGCAGCAGATAAAGAAATTGATCCTCAGAGGCCAAGGTCAGGGAATTATAACATGTATTCAGTGGCGGCAAACCTATGGCATGCATGTTATCTGTTTTCCTTTTAAGACAAAAGCGTTATGTATGGGTTACTGTTTCTAAACTAAAACCTCAGTGAGTCAGGGTTAGCTGTTGAAACTTGGCAATAAATAAGTGGGTTTTGGGTTTCAGTTTGGGCCCTCAAATCTAAAAGGCTTGCCTACAATGAAAGAAGCTTAAGAAATGGAAGTGTGGAGAGGGCATTTGAGGTCACGCAGCTAGTCACTGTCACTTCTGGCTGACAGAGGATTTATTCTCTGAGAAGCCTCTGTTGAGGGCAGATCCAGGTGGCCTACATGTTCCACAATATCCAAGGCCTAGAACCTGCAGGGCTTCAAGAGGCTCTGGCTAGCTGGCTCTAGGCCCTCTCACCTGTAAGTCTTTTTTTTTTTTTTTTTCCCAATGTGCAAAGTCTTTTATTTAAAATTCTGAAAAGTTAAGACTTATGACTACCTCATCTACGCCATTCCTATTATAAGGAGGAAGGGCGCGTCTGAGCTCATGCACAGCTGCAGTTTTAGGACTCTGTAGGCACTTTAGAAGTGAAGCTTGGCTTCAAAATACAAACACTAGGGGCTTTGGCTCAACCTTTTAATATAAAAAAGTCATTGATGTACAAAAATGTGAAAGTTTGACAATGACAACATATGAAATCCTGTGGTTGAAAGTCCCCTCCAGTGCACTCCGTGGTGCACATGTGCCCACCCATAGATTCTGGCGTGGAAACATAAACTAATGCCAACCAGTGCCACCAAGAAGTGCCAACGTGTGTATCCTTCACTCCATCAATCACAGACCCAGTATCCACTCTGAACGCTCAGTAACAAAAAGCACAGCATCTTCCCAGGAACACCAAGGCAGCCTTCTTACTCACAGCCTTCTTACTCACGATGGAGCAGCACGAACACACCCAGTAAGAAAAGGACTGCATACTTAAATTTAGGGTAGTCATTCATGAGGATTGTCACAATTCCAATATAAGGAACAAATCCCCTGGCTCTCCCCACGACATCTTTTTTCTCTAGCCAATGCTGTCCTTGTTTATAGAGGCCTCGATCATCAACAGCATTATTATCTCCTTTAGTCAAAAACTTGATATGCCCATTTTGCTTTTCATGAATCTTCAAGACTCGATGAACTATAGGAATCTCTCTTCCTTCTATCCTAAAAACAACAATTTCCCCTACTCGTATAGGATCTTCAACTCGATTTGTTAGAAAGAGAAGATCTCCTCTGTGAAATGCAGGCTCCATGCTGCCGCTGAGCACCACTACAATTGGACTTTCACTTCCAGTTATTACCATTAACCCCTTCCAGATCATTAGTGCCGAGGAGACAATCATTCCAAAATTTAGGACTTGATAATACAGCTGCCTCCTGTTCATTCGCCGCACATCGTCCAAAAAGTCTAGAGAGAGCATGGTGGGGCCGGCAAGTGGGACGCGGGTGGGAGAAAGGGCGCGACACGACCGCCTGACGGAACGGGAGAAGGCAGGGCCGGGCTCCTCACCTGTAAGTCTTGTGCAGCTCCATGATCCTCTCCTCCAGCTCCCGGGTCTGGTTTGGGGCAAAGCGGAGCTCACTGACATAGTTGCCTACATGCTCCTCTGCATCATAGTCCCCGAGCTCAGCCTGCACAGCATAGGAGCCCAGCAGCGCATGCGTGACAAAGGAGCAGGGCAGCCGGCCCGTGATGATATCTGCTCGCAGCTGCAGACACAGGTAGTACCTGGAGACAGGAGAGAGAAGCTGTGGGCTCAGGCCTGGGCGGGCCTCCAGGTTCCCTGAAGTCCAGCGGAACCAAACTGATCAACACATGGCTCAGCAGAAATGGGTGCCCCTCGACACCAGCATTTCATAGATTGATAATGTGCTTGTATCCTATGAGATGGCTTTGAGATATTTCAAGTGACTTTCAGTGTTTTTGTTCATTTCCGAATTTGAGAGCTTTTTCCTACTATGAGAGCACTTGTAATTTAAAATTCATTTTCAAGTTTAACAGAACTACTTTGCTGGGATAGCCCTTTAAAATAAGCATCATATAGGGGATGGGGAGACAGCTCAGCGGTCCAAGTGCCTGCCTGGCAAGTGCAAGGACCTGAGTTCAGTCCCCTGTACTGCATATGGTGCTGACCCCAGAACTCAAGGCATGCATGCAGCCCACTGAAACCCAGCATAGAGGCACACATCTGTAATCCCAGCACTGGGGAGGCTGAGACAGGAGGGTCACTACAAGTGTGAACTGTGTAGCAAGACTCTATATCAAATTTAAAAAAAAAATTATCATGTAGTTTTAATTATGTAACTAATACATTCTCATATGGGAAAAATGGAAAGTTTAGAGGTGACTCTAAATTTGTCTTACACTCATTTTCATTCCTAACCCCTTCTCCAGGGCCATCAGTTATCCATTTGGTATTCCAGACCTTTCTCCTTCCTGTAGACACAAAAATGCATGTGGTTTTGATTCATAGGTGTTTTTAGCACATAAATGGCATTGAAGGCTACATTTGATTCTACAGCTCTATTTGTCACGCCCAAGAATGTGCCTTAGAGCCATTTCCGGTTGCAGGCAGCTCTGCCTCATTCATTTTAACTTCTGCACCTTCTTCTACATCCCAGACGTACCTGGGGCCAAGGCTTTCCCAAAACTCCCTACTGTGCTTCCAGCTCTAAGCAAACTGTCTAAAACAACAACAAAACCCAACAAACTGATTTAAAGAAACATTTCCAAACACCAGGCCATGATTTTTTTATAACTTTTATGCACACTTGGATGATTTTACAGTTTTTGGAACCATTTAAAACCATTTTGTTACTGCTTTTGTGGTTGTTATGGGCTTTTTGTTTTTTGAGACAGGATCTCTGTAGTTCAGGCTGGCCCTGAACTCACTGTGGAGCCTAAGATTGCCTCAAACTCATGAGGAGCCTCCTGCTTAGTCACCTGAGTGCTGGGATTACAGGCACGTGCCACCATGCCTGGTTCTTCCTTTTAAGTGGTTTTTTAGTACAATTATTAGTGCTCTGTGACATTATTTCAGTCAGAACTGAAACCTTAGTGATAGAGGGAGGGAGAGAGAAGGAGACCGGACGTAAAAAGACTTAAGATATTCTACACCTGTACTAATTCTTCACAATAAATGTCATTATTAGGTACTGCAAACATGTATTAATAAAAATAAAAACTGAAACAAGAACTGAAATCCTAAGGGCTGGCCAGACAGCTCAGTGCCTGCTTAGGCAGAGCACAGGGGCTGGGACTCGATCCCCAGGGTGCTGTGCCAGCCCTGCCCCTGGGGCACCCTGAGAGGGTGATTGAGACTGGGCATGGTGGTGCACGCCTATAATCCCAGCGCTTGGGAGGCTGAAAACAGGAGAATCACTAAGAGTCCGATCTACGTAGAGATTCTGCGGACCCTGTACTAAATACATTTGAGGGAAAAAAAAAAAAAAATACAATTGAAATCCTAGCAAAAGAACATGCGGCCTCTGCGTGCTCAGGGCCACGCTCAAACATGATAAGCATCGGGTATGAGCCTGTGGCATTTTGTTCAAAAGTCTAAAATTTCAGAAATCACTGCCAAATGCTCTGACCAATCCTTCATTTCAATCAATTTGTCATTTTGACCAGTTTATTTTGGGCCTAACTATTTTTGACTAAATCAGCCGCTCCTGCCACCCCACCACCTCCTGGGGCCATCTGTGCTGGGCATAGCTAACTTCCCTCCTGGTGTCCCCACAAACCCAATGCCCAGAGTCTGGCACAAAAAGGAAAGACACTAACTAGTGGGCAAGACCACAGGAATAGGGACTGAATTGGCCTACATCTCCGAACCGGCTGCTGTCACTCTGGCCTGGAGCTGACCTCAGGGCTCTAAGTAGGGCTGAGGCCAAGGCCTGGGGCTTGATCTGTTCCAGGAACATCTGTCTTATCTCAAAGCCAGAGTCAGCATCTTGACCTTGGCCTGTAGCTTGGCACACATTCAGCAGGCATTAAGAGACTCAATGGAAAGGAGAGGGCAGCATAGCACCCTTCCCACGGCAGGAGAACTCAGGCCATGTCTTACGGTTGGGGTACAGGGCCCATCACATGGATGACACAGCCCCCAGATACCCTGAAGTGAGGCCATCTGTTTGAAAGGGGTTTAGCTAAAGAGAAAGGCCTCTTTCCTGCTTTGTTTTCCAGAGGCAGGATGAATCCAAAGATGGCCCCACACTCAGGTGTTCTGCACTCCCTCCTAATCTGCAAGCCACCTGTCTATTGGTCCTTAGGCACAGGACTGTACAGTCCAGGCTTGCTCCCATGGAGGTCCCAAGGCTCTTTGGACTTCCACACCCCTCACATATGCCTAGATGCTGGATCAAACTTGCACATGCAAAGAACTGCTCGTCCCTCCTTATCCCCATCCCTCCTTATCCCTGACAATGAGAAACACTGGCTCACTCAGAACATCAGCCTTCATGTCTTGGGTTGGCCTCCACCCAGGGACGGCCCACACTGATCTTAACAGTTTACACTCATTGTCAGTATTTAAAATTTGTGAATTTTGCTCTTTAGTCTCTAGCTTCACCTCAGCAATCGAGCCTAATCCCCACAGGGCAGTGTTTACCGGCACCTGAACAGCAATGACTTTAGGTGGCCTGTCTTCTTCAATTCATGATGAGCTTACAGCCCCATGACACCTCCTTCTCTGAGGTCCAGAGTCAGTTCCCAGTGACCACATTTGTGCCTGTTTCTCTCACACTGTTTGTCTTCTTCCTTTGCCAGTGTCCTCGGCTCACCAGACCTCTGCATATACAGCCCCATGTCTCCCAGGCCAGACACCTGCACCCATGGCTCCCCTGGGTACCACCCTCAGCCCTCCCTCCCTCCCTCCCTCCACAGTGCTCACCTTGTGATATCCTCTGTCAGCTGGGCCGGGTCAGGGGGGTAGAACTTGACTGTGAAGGCAAAATTCCAGGGGCTGCCTGAGAGGAGAAAACCAGGGGAGATCAGAGAGGCCCAACCATCCCAGCCGGTGGCCCACATGCACCAGGCTGTAGGCAACTTCTGGAAGTCTCCTCCTATTTCAGATCTACAGACTATCTAGTCAGAAAGCCTGGAGCATTTTTACCACTTGACAGACGTGGAACTGACAGTCAGATTAGGAGACTCGGGGGCTGGCAGTGGGGAGGAAATAGAGGGCGAGGAAGCCGAAGCTATGCTCCAGGTGCCACGCTGGGAATTACTTCAGAACATCACTTCACTGACCTACCGTGACCCCGAAGTGCTCCTGTAATTAGCTCCACCTTGCAGATGGGGACACTGAAGCAGGCAGAAGCAATAAGATGGCCAGCTTCGGCACATTACAGAAAGTTCATCTCCATAAACATCCTGATACGTTAAATGAAGATTCTGAGAGGTGAGCTCACTCTCCAGGCCTCACTCAGTGGTTGGTGGCAGAGAACAGGTGTCCAAACTGCAGTTGTCTGACCCCAGAGCCCTGGCACCCGACTGCAAGAACTCTTTGCAAGAAAGAACCTCAAGGGGACACAATCTCTGCCTCAGAGATAGTAACAGTGATGGCAAATAATGAAATGATAATAACAAATACAAATAATAGCTAGTGCGCAGAGCGTACATGAACAGGCACAGTTGTAAATGTCACACACACAGTAACTCATTTAATCCTCACCACAATCCTAACTTTAAGCATTGTCATTATCCCATTTTATAGGTGAGGAAATTGAGGCACAAAACAGTCAAATGGCACAACAAGTAACATGGAGTCTGATCCAGCAGTCTGGCCCCATGTCTGTCACACTGTCTGGGGAGGCTGCAAGCAAACAGCCCCTTCAGTGGGTAGTGTGTTGCCTGCTGGCCACGCTCTTGTCATTTAATGTTGCTCCTGCCTTGTGAGACAAGAATGAACCATCCACTTGCCAGGCAGACACAGGGCCCAGACAACCTCTCCAGGTGTCCTGGCTGACAGGAGGCTCAGTGGAGATATACCAGGCCTCAGGGCTCACACAGCTACCTTCAGAAGGCTGAGAGCAGCCAACAGAAAGGACGAAGAAATTGTTCTATGGTGCCAAAGGGCAGGGCTAGGATGATGGCTGGGAGTTCAGGGGGAGGGCCAGTGGCTGGGGCTTTACTGTAGTTTAAGGGGTCACAAGGAGCAACTCTCCACATGACTGGTTCACGCTGACAGCGGCCATGTGCATACACTGAGGACAGATGCTCAGCCCGACCGTTCAGCCTGGCTGCCTCTTCTTTTCCAAGCTCTTGGTTTTTAACACTGAACACTTGGCCCTCTGCATGTGTTGTGATTCCTCCCCTGGAGCTGCTAGAGGGTCAGCATGAGCCCAGCCCTAGGACTGTCTACCCTAGAGGACTGTGCTTGGCCTGTGTGGCTGCTCTTTGTCTCCAACTGACAGGAACCTACTGGAAGAATTCCATAAGCCCCCTCCTGCAGAGTCAGCTGGCATCTCTGGGCCCAGCTGCCTGCTGTCATGGCAACAGGCTTGGCTACAGCTTTCTAGCCAGGGGACCAGAGAGCCAGGGGGAAGGGCTCTGGGTGGAGGCATCTCTGCCTCCAAGCCCCTGGTTTCCACCTACTGTAAGAACCTTGCTGAGGACACTGACTCCCCACCCCCACCTTCTGCCATTTGAAAGCTGTCCCACCTCTCCCAGCATGCCTTTCTCTCAGAAGCACAGGGTGTAGACCTGCTTGTCTGTCTTCTCCCCAGGCCCTAAACAAGAGCACAGGATGAGGTTGAAAGGTCAGGACTGAAGACTGGCTCATCCAATATTCGGTTCTGGGAATAAGTAAGCACTTCTCTCTGGGCCTATGAGGAATGAGTCTTTAAGTGTACACTAGCTCTGGACAGGAGGGTGGCTGTTTCCAGCCCATCTGTCTCCTTGTCCTGGATGATTCTGCAGGTCCCTCCTAAGGCTGACACCTGAATGATTTTGTGACTCCCCTGCTATCATGTCTGACTGCACAGTTTCGCTCTTTTCTAAGCCTCAGACTTATCATCTATAAAATAATGCTCAACCCTGCCCTGCTCCCCAAGACCTAAAGAGAGGACAGGATCTTGTGGGTTGAGATTCACTTTCCAGAGTCAGAGTGAGCAGCACAGCCAGTGTCCCACCCACCCTTCCACTGCACCCCAACCATCGCCAACTACTCACTCCGGATCTGCTTCTTGATTTCCTTGGAGGGATCCAGCCAATTCTGAAAGAGAATCAAGAGTTTTTCCACAAGAAAGATGGAGGAGAGGGCCCAACTGGGCTGGGATAGAGAATGGGAACAAGGACTGGGACCTTCCCCACCAGAGCTGGGACACAGCACTGTGCTCTGAAGTTGATCTGGGGCAGCCATGATGAGGAGATATTGAGCCACAGGGGTCAGGCAGGCAGGAGCCTCTGAAGATGGGGAAAAGGCACTGTCATGGGACCACCTCCATTCCTTTAGGCAACTCACGCCATCATGGTGGGGTTCTCAGACATCCATCTAGGGTTACTTACACATCACTAAGAAAAGACTAGGGGTCGGGGTGGAGACCGAGAACAAACCGACAGTACATAGGACTGTCAGGTGCCTAATGGAAACCCTGGGGAGTGGACATGAGGCCCAAGGGAAGAGACCTCCCCCCGCATGCCCCCCATCAAGCACCTTCTGGCTGTCAGCATCGCAGAAGGTCAGGCCAAAGTAGTCCTTCTCCAGGAGGTTGAGGTGCTCACAGACCAGGTCAAATAGCACCTGGCCCCGGCCGTGCTTCTAAAGGAGAGAGCAGAGCTATCATGAGACTGGAATGTACCTTAGGATGGGTTGGGTGATGTCCTGGGCTCTAGCAGAATAACAAGAAAGGTCCTGAGAGCCTTCTAGGACCCGGATGGAGCCTCTGCCCTCCTGCCACCTGGCTCTGCTCTCTGAGTCCTAAGGGAACCTGGAGATAACAATACCCAGCCTCTAGGTTCTTCCAAGGCCTGCTAGGGTCTCTCTAGCCCATGGGTTTTCTGGCGTGGAGGCAAGTGGAAGTAAGGGAACAGGGAGTAGCTGGTTTCTCCTTCCTTTACAGCAACAAGAGAAAGGCCAGAAAACAAAACTCCTAAGCTTTGGGTGGGAGAGGAAGAGGAGAGATTTTTTTAAATTAGGGGCACAGGCAAGAGAAAGAGGAGGGCCTGGGGTTCAGGGTCACAGAGTGATTCTCATTTTCCTGACCTTTCTGTTCAAACAAAGTGTAAATGAAGAAACAAAGACTCCCCCCTGGCTAGGCAGCAAGTGAAGAAACAGAAGTGGACAGGACCTCCATCGGCCTCTACCAGAGGTACCAGAGCCACCACCCGGCCCTCCTCCTCTATCACACAACAAGGTCTGTACCACTCTCTGCGCCATTTTTCTGGCCCAGGGATCTAGCATGGCAGAGCCCACAACCAGGCTAGGTGTCTACAACAGGAGTGAAGGAAAAACACGTAAAGAGATCCATGGTAGGGGTAGTCACTCTACCCCTAATGAGAGTGACTGAGAGCCCTGCAGGGTACAGCTGCGTCCCCATGGACCTGGACAGGCATGGCAGAGGACTTCTGAGCCTGGAGGAGCCTATCCAAGTGAGTAGACGTGGCTTGAGCCAAACCCTCCACGTGCAGCTGGGGCAGCTGAAGTGGCACTTTGGAACCATGAGACATAAAAGAGCCCTTTGTGTGGGAACAAGAAAGGTGTTTGCTCAGAAGAAATACACAGTAAAGCAATAAAACTGCAGAGAAGAGGGGCCTGGCCTCCCAGGGCTCAGAAGAAAGTCACAACCCTTAAAATCAAGGCATGCTCTGAAGAGCTCAGCAGTGAGGCCAGCCTTTGAACTCTTCCACACATGTGGGAGAAGCGCTGGGCTTGTGGCTTGGACAGCATAGAGCCCCTAAGGGACAAAGGTATTCAGGGATGCGGATAGGAAAAACTAAGATTGAGGGGAGTCTGAGCCTGCACAAGTCAGGCGACATTAAAAAAAAAGGGCCAGAAGGGCTGGAGAAGAAGCATCTGTCATTTCACTGCTAGGGGCCAGAGTCATATCACAGGGGCTTCTACCCAGATAAACACACCCTTGCAGTGGGCCACCTCCCTATGCCTCGATGACATATTTAGCATAGACTCTGCAGGTGACTAGTTTGTCCTAGAGACTGACATGGTGCCCTGGACGGATGTTCACAAGGAAAGGAGGACCCCTCTATTTATCAATACACACACACACACACACACACACACACACACACACACTATAGTCTAAGCACTAGTCTCTGCTGGGAGAGATAGAAGAGCCTGGTTTCTGGGCTGCAGATCAGCCCTCAGATACTAGTAACCTTGCCACGGTACAGCCGGCCCTGAACAACCTTTTCCTGGTGCCAGCCCTATGCCCTGTCTAATTCTGTTTGCAATCATAATCATCGCTTTCTGGGCCTTCTTGCCACCATCTGTACAAAAGAGGCCCAGGCCAGGTCATCTCTCCGGACACTGCAGTCGTTCCAGGACTCCTCTGGTGTTGCTCAGGCTGATGCCCACAGGAGCTCCCTGGCCTGCGGCCAGCCAGCCGGGCACTGCGCATATGGCTCTGGGTGCTCTCTTACCTCTACCTCACACTCATACTCAGAGGCATCGAGCAGAGTGACTCGGCAGATGGCACTCTTGTACTTCTTGGCAATCTTCTGGGGTGACTTCTGGGCCTTACTGGGCGTGGTCCTCTCTGACAGGCCATCGGCCTCACAGTAGTCCTTCTCCTCCATGTCTAGGCTCTGTAGGCCCAATCGAGGGAAGAGTTTGGTCAGTGAGCTTGAAACCATGGCCTTCCACACAAACAAGAAGCAACTCAGTGGTTTTTTTTTTTTTTTTTTTTCTTGTTTTTATGAAACAGGATCTCACTATGTAGTTAAGGCTGGCCGTGAACTCACTACATAGCCCAGGCTGGCCTCTAACTTACAGTGATCCTCCTGCCTCAGCCTCCCAAGTGTTGGGACTACAAGCGCACATCACTGTGCCCAGCATAGGAAGCAACTGGAACATCTGGGACAGAGACAGATCCCAAAATGTGAGTCACTCCCTCTGAGACTCATGGAGCGTCCAGGGGACACGGTTGGTGAACACAGGAAGTGAGCTCAAGTCTCTAAATGCAACGAGGGATCGGCGTCTCACCCACAGGCTACTGATGGCAGGGGCAGCTCCTGCAGGGAGCAGCATCCCACAAAACAACACTGTGGCCAGAGCTCTGCCTCCCTCGAACAGGACATAAGGCAGGAGAACAACTGGCCTGTCTTCTCCTTCCCATCTGCTGCAGAGGCTAGCTAGAGGGGCAGAGCTGTGGAGGTCTGATGCAGGGAAGGGCCGGGCTCTGTCCTCAACCCCTTGATGGTCTTGGCCCAATCCTTACCCTCTCTGGGCCTGTTGTGAATTAAGGGAGGTGTGAATTAGAGGACTAGATGATTCCTCGAGTCCACTGTAGTTTTACAGTGATGAGTTTTGCTCCAGAATCAAACCAGGGTTGTCAAATTAGAATGAGAAATCTCAAAGATGGAAGAAGAAAGTTGAAAAAACTAGTCTTTGAAACCAGATCTAATCACTTTATGGCAATGTGACTTTGGGTAACCTGCTCCACTCCACTGAGCCACAATTTTGCTAAACGTAACATGCAGAAATCAATACCCATTCTCTGATGTTTGGAAGAATTAAATATAAAAATGACCACAATGCCCTCAGGCTCAGTGTTCACATAACAGGTCACAAATGAATCTTAGTTTCCTTCTTTCTTCCCTGCTGAGAAAATACTAGGGGCCCAGGAACAGGACGTGAGAACTGGCCAGGCAAGGGGAGGGCTGCCCATGACCTCAGGTAGCTACCTGTTCAGCAGGCCGGGAGTCCTGCTGGGGCGGATGCTTCTCATTGGAGTTGGCCTCGGGGTGGCCGTGGCCGGCAGGAGTCACAGGGGTGGTCACAGCAGCAGCAGCCTCAGGCTGTTGGGGAGCCTCCTCCTGTGCCTTCTTCACCTCAGAATCAGGGCCTGTCTCTGTTGTCATGGTGACCAGCACGCCTGCATTGGCATGAAGGAGAGCATGTGATGGGAGAGGGATGGTGACAGTGTGACAGCACAAGGGGGCAGGAATCACATGCGGAGAGAGACAGATGGAGAGAGATGGACAAAGAGCCAGAGAGCGAGAGGGAAGAAGAGAGGGATAGAGTGAATAGGAAGAGGGGAGTCACAAGAAGTGAGGGGTTAGTAGGGGCAGCCAAGGTCAAAACCCCATTTCCACTCTGCACCCAGTTTTACGGTGATCTCAGTCTCTGGGCCCAGATGTGGAATCCGATTGTTTTCTATGGATAACAGCATTCTCTGTAGGGAACCCTACCTTGCCAGGAATACAGGGGTCACTGAGTGACCAGCTCCAGGCAAGGCTCTGCCAGCTGTCTCTCTGGCCACAGTGACTGGCACACAGTAGCCCCTCAGTAGATGCTAGATAAGCTGAACTCAATCAGAAGCGCTCTCGATTCCAATTGCTTTAGGCAAAGAATATCAGCAAGCCTCTGCAAGTCCCAAGACCCAATTCCTGCTTACGTGCACGTGTGTACACACACACACACACACACACACACACACCCCTGGCTTCACAAGGCTGCTGTCAGGATGAGTCCACAACAGGTAGCCACTTAACAAAAACATACTGGGGGAGGGAAGAAGTCCATGACTCCAAGAGTAGATGCCCCACTGCTGGTGATTTGAGGGGAGCATTCAGGTGCCACTTCCTTCTTGCTGCCCCATGCCAATTTGACATGGAATAGAGTAAAAAGAAAAAAAAAAAAAAGCAAAACACACTGCTGTGCCCATGTAAAAATCAGAGTTCAGTACCAAGTCCACTGCAAATGTGGGAGTCACTTTGTCTCTCTGGGATTCATCTGCCAGGTGAGAGACTTAAAAGAGAGCCATCTCAGGGACAAACTATTCAGGGCATTTTCCCTACAAGAGTTAAATCAGGAGATTCTAGAGAGAGTCAAGGAGCCACTGCACAGTTATTCTGTTGGAATCAGCCAATTGTGGAAAAAAGAGGGGAGTGTCATGACAAAATAATAACCTCAACAACTTATCCTTATGTTTTATGTATTTAGTAAAAGATCTGAAAGGATACCACACTGTTACAGAGATGTTAAAGGAGCTGGGTGTGGTGGTGCAGGCCTGTAAACCTGGCACGTTGAAGGCTGAGGCAGGAGGATCACCACGACCCTGGTGGGGTGGGGTAAGCTATATCCCTAGCCCTAAGGAAAAAGTAAAGGAGACTCACAGAAATGCGCTAGGTAAGAGGAAGCTTTATTTTTCACTTTCTGCATTTTAGAATTACATCTGTTTAAAGATGGTTAGATGGATACATGAATAGGGATGGACAGATAGATACTAACCCACAAGCTTTGTTTTTTATTTTCTTAATGGTAAAAATACTCATTCTTGACTCCAATTAGTAAATCTTCAACCAGAAAAAGTTTGGAGCTAAAACCATGGAAAAAGGTAAGAATTCTTGACCCTGAGAGACAGACCCTTCCTCTAAATCACACCACTGCATGCAAGAAAGATCCAGACTAGACCTGGCAGGCCCTTCCTCCACCTTGCAACCACAGGAGACCACCAATGGCCAGACAGACAGACCCTGGATCCACCCTGGGATCCACATGCTCCAGCCTCCCTGCCTCAAACTTCCTTTTCCTACTCCTTGGAGTTCTGAGGATCCAATCCAACACCCTGAACACAACAGGTATGTGCCCTACCACTGTGCTATACCCACGGTACATCATTTTTATTCTTCAGTTTTTGCCTGATCTAAAACAAAGGGCACCGGACAGAAACTGGGGACTCTTGAGCAGCCTACTCGGCCACAGGAGAGTGTCATGGCCCTGAAGAAGCAGGGTCATGGCATCTTGAGACCCTATACAGCAGGTCACAAGTGGAAGACTTTGTAAGCTGGAGTGTGGCACAAGGGAGGACTGAAGCTGCTGTCAAGAAGCAAGACGGGCAGGAAGAAAAAGTGTGGGTCATCATCTCCTCCCCCACCCACAGCTTTCCCCTCAAGCTATTACCCTGGGCCTTAGGGGTACAACTTCATGACAGAGCTACATAAAGGCTCTTGCCACTCACATGACACCTGGGTCAGCATACAAAGTGACAACAGCAGCTCTGGGGAAGCTCACAACCTCTGAAGGATCAAACTGAGATCTGTCTGCTGGGCTGGGGACATTTCCTAGGCCTGCACTTGAAAACACTGGCCATCGTATTAGATAAGATCTCTTCCGGGGCCGGGGAGATGGCTCAGTGGAATAAGCGCTTCCCTGGCAAGCACAAGGGCCTGGGTTCAATCCCCGGTTTTGAAGAAAAAAAAAAAAAAGATCTCTTCAATGAGCCCCGAAATAAATGCCTACTTAATTCTGCTTTAAAAAAAACAAACAAAAAAAAACAAAAAAAACCCAGAATTTGCCAACTAGCCTGTATGCTTCCTGATATGAAATGCAGAATCCACATGACCCTTACGGCCAGACATTGCTGTGGCACATCCATTCCACCCCTCTGGTGGCCTCAGTCTGGCTTCAGCCTGGACTCTCAGAACTTTCCCCCAAGCCTGAGTCTTCCTGGGAACAGCAGGAAAGCAGTCTTAAATAAAGATCCCAGTCTTCCCTGCCTTGGTCTCCAGCAGAGTGTGCAGGCAGCCAGTTCCACAGATAAGAAGCGCTGGCTATCCTCTGAGATAATTAACCTACTCTTCTTTTGCGTGTTAAACTCAGAGATCAAGAGACTCAAGTGACAGTCATTTCCTCAAACAAGGTTCCTCTGTTTTCAGGTTAAGCGCCCAGGAGGTGCTGGGGCCACTCTGGGAAGGGGGTGCAGAAAATTATGGGAAACATCTGGGTGAAAAAAGCATGGGCCACAACAGTGTGTACAGATAGATGCTATTTTTTAAAAATTTTATTATTTATTTGTGTGTGTGTGTGTGTGTGTGTGTGTGGCCAGCTCAGCCCACCAGGGGGCAAGGCTGGCTGGCATGTGGTGCTGGGGGATTGAACCGCGGTCCCTGTGCTTTGCTAAGCTTGTTCTAAGTAGGTGCTTTAGACCACTGAGCCATTTCACCAGCCCTAGATGCTATTTTAATTAATACACATACATAAGTTGGTCCCCAACTTATGATAGTCCTACTTATGATTTTTCAACCTTACGATGGTGAGAAATTGTATTTTCAATTTCAGTACAATATTAAATAAATTAAGTGAGATATTCAGCAGTATTATAAAATAGGTGTTGTGTTGAATGATTTAAGCCATTTAATGTAGGCTGAATTAAGTGATGTGAGCACATTTGAGGTAGATTAGCTAAGCCATGATACTGTGTAGGTTAGGTATATTAAATGCATTTTTTTACTTACGATATTTTCAATCTCAAATTGATGGGGCTATCAGGATATAGTCTCAAGGTAAGTTAAAGAACATCTATACTGAAAATATAGCAAAGCTTAGCTATGGTTATTTCGGGGTGGCAGAAACAGGGACTGTTACTTTTTCTTCTCTCTATTTAACTATAGTTCTTGGTTTTTCTACTAGGAGATTTCTTGAATTTTTTAAATAAATAAATAAATTTATTTATTTATTTATTTATTTTTTCTTTTTTTTTTAATTTTTATTTTTTATTTATTTATTTTATTTATTTATTTATTTATTTATTTTGTGTGTGGGTGGCCAGCTCAGCCCACCAGGGGGCGGGGCTGGCTGGCATGTGGTGCTGGGGGATTGAACCGCGGTCCCTGTGCTTTGCTTTGCTTAGCTTAGCTTAGCTTGTTCTAAGTAGGCGCTTTAGACCACTGAGCCATCTCACCAGCCCCTATTTATTTATTTTAGAAAGGGGATCTTGCTTTTCTTAGCCTTAGACTGGGCTCAAGCGGTCCTTCTGCTTCAGCTTCTCAAGTTACTTACTGAAGCTGTAGGTATGACCACAACGAGCTCTTCAAATGATTGTTTTAAAAATTAGAGACCAAAAAAAAAAACAAAACAAAAAAAAAAATTTTTCTGATGCCTCTAGCTTGGTATGACAGGTTGAAAGGGGATAAACGAAATCTGTTTAAACTTTATAGAAAATTTATAAATTAAAAAATATCATTATTATTTCTGAAACCTATGATGAGCTCTTTCTTTGACAAGCTCAAGGATAAGGGACCATGCCCTTACTAGGCCACAGGAAAGGAGCCAAGCACCCAGCCTGGGTGCACTGAGCCAGCCATGAGGGCACGTCTTCCCAGGCCCGGGTTAGAAAGGCTGATACAGCCTGCTGGGTGCCTAGGCCAAGGACCACAGGGGACCCGCAGGGGAGCACGTGCTGGTTCCTGTGGACGCTGCTGCCATGAGAAGACCACGCTGTCCTAGGGGATGGCTACGGTGATTTGGGTTTGCCAGCGTACACTTCAGCCTCTGAGCAGACTCTGGGACCTGGTGATCTTGAATGTCACCATCCGTTCCTGAAGGAGTCTTCTTGGGTAGGAGGTGTAGGTGCGATGAGGAACTTTTAGACAGGAGATGGCAGAGAGGACACTTGAGCTGAGACGCCATGCAGGCAAACATGCAGAGATGGGATCACAGAGGCTATGCGGGGAATAAAGAAGATGGCACTGACATTCCGAGTCCTCAAAACAGCTGTAAAAGGGAGCTTCAGACAGCTTGGCAGGAGGGACAGGAGAGATCTGGGAGACATGAAGGAGCTGGGAGGTTGAAGCAACTTTGCAAAAGCCAGAAGCACCCTGCCCACTAGAGAAGGACAGGACTGCCCCAAGTGAGCAGTGCTATGGCTAGACCCAGGCCAGGGTCAGTCACAGAGCCTGAGCAGCACTGCAGGGCAAGGGGCCTCAACAGTGGCCAAGAGCACAGGTGTGGGCTTTGGAGCCAGGCACACAGAGACCCAAACCCCAGCTCCAGCCATTCCTGGCTCTGTGACCTTGGGCCAATGACTTCATTTATCTGAGCTTCAGTTACCTGTCTATAAAGCTAAGATTCTCCTCCTTCCCTCTCACAGTG